GTGGGGGGGGGGGGGATGTGATTTTTAGCAACCTCTGGTTGGTGGTTTGTTTAGGTTTGGTATTTTAAATAAGTGGTTTTGTTTCCATACTTTAGATGTGTTAAAAACACACATTTAATATAGAGAAAACTCATGGGATAGGTCCTCAGCTGGAGTAAATCAGCTGCTCTGATTTATTCCAGTTGAGGGACTCACTCTATCCCTTTCTAGGAGGCACACAGGACATCCCTGGCAAAGACTATGTGAATGCTCTGCTGAAAGTAACAGTGTACATTCACAGACATTGGGGGCACCTCTACATGGTGATTAAAAGACCTGCAGTCTTGAGACTAAGAGCTCATGCTTACTCGGGTTCACAGGGCTGTGGCTCTGGGCTAAAAATTGCAGGTAGTCATTCTGAGTCCAGGTTGGAACCTGGGCTCAGAGACCCTCTCCCTCTTGGGGCATCAGAGGTAGGTTCCAGCCCACGCCTGATTATCTACACTGCAGTGTGTAGAGCCATGCAACCCGAATCTGAATCAGCGGACTGGGCCTGCCACAGCCAAGCAATGGCTCTTTTATCACTGTGGAGACGTACCCAGGCTGTTCAAAGAAAGTGATATTATCATAACTCATCTCTGGTGCATAGCTAGTATTCTGTAGTATCATCATGTGCTATGTGGCATTAACCAGGATGCCTTCAAATATAAATACACTATGTCCTCATTAGAATTACAGTAGGAACCTTAAGCAGGCATTAATGAAGGCTTCCTGGCACTGAATTTCTTGGCATACTAAAGCCTTTCAAAGGTCTCGCCTAGTTCATCTTCGTTCCAAAATGTGTCCTTATTTTAATCCTTGCTTCCCCGTATCGACTCTACGAACAATGTGAGTAAGCATCGTGTGTGCACATTCTCACAGCCTGTGAAATTCTCTGAATACATTCCAGCCAGACCAGGATTGACCATATCTATGTGGGTGGGCAGGTTGCGTGCTGGGCTGCAACAGACACGTCTGAATTGCGTCAGTCAGTAGGGACAAGTCGAATGAAATCTCTTTTGTGACAGAAGGTGCTTTACGCAGCAAAGGAGAAAAAAGAGCAACAGCGGGAGCTAATTTCACACGTGACCCGGGGAGTTATTATTTCTCCACTGTAAAGCAGGGGACCATGGCACTAATGATACTGCTCACCGTTGTCATCTGTTTCACAGGAATAATTAATTGCCATCCCAAAAAATAGCTGCAGTTGGCGGAGATGCTTTATGAACAGGGGCCTATTGTAAGCCCAGAGGCTTCACAGGAGCCTCCATAAAGGTAGCAGTGGCTGCATCTTTCCCAGCAGCCCGAAAGCCTCTTATTATCAAAATTCAGTCCCCATCCTTCTCCCAAAGCATTTGCCTGGCTGTTAGTAAAACACTTTCAGCTTTTATCTGTAATTGTTCACTGTATTTAATGAAGATGATAGAGCCGCACACAGTGTGTCACTTGCATGGGGCTTAACAAATAACAGGTTCCCCTTTTAATCTGCGGTTCTGATTCTGCTCCCTGTAGATGCAAAACCGGAGCCCATACTGACTGTGCCCCTTTAATCTCATGCTCGTTCCTGTACCATATCATTACTGCATGTGGAGGGGCCATGTACAGCTCTCTGCAGTACAGCTCTCAATCCTGTTTAATATGCAGTTTCCCATTATTCATTTACTCTCAGGTGGAAAGAAACATAGATTTCTGCAACATGTAGGCCTCATTAGTAAATAGTTACTTTACTTATATTTCAACTTCTGCACTTATTGATGAGAAATTTGATTTGATTTGATTTTTCAAATGGTGCACTAGGCTCTTATAACTTGCATGAGTTAATTATCAATAGCCCAACTAACATGAACAAGACAAGCAAGCTTTGACCCGTCTCCTTATTTTTGCCCTTTAAACACCAGTAAAAAGCAATATAAACAAACAAAAAATGTCATGCTCGCTACCCTTTAAAAGGTTGTGTTACCTCCACTAGCCTTCCAATCAATGAGAACTGGATAAATTCATACTGGAGCCTTTTGACATCCCCACTTAATCAGAGAGAAGAATTGTAGTAACAGTGATTATAATTAATAATAAATCATACTCTATACTACAGCGGTGATTTATTTACTTTTTATGGAATCACTGGATGCCAAAAATGTTAATAAAAATGATTCAATACCAAGCCTGAAACAGGTAAGCCATGTCATATAATTTGTATAAAAGCTAAACTTCTTGATGAGAAAAGCAAACTAAAAGCAATATTTATTTAACAGACCACTGAATAGCAAAGCTGTGATAAATATTTATGAGTTAGATACTTCCATATACTGTAGTATTATGAAGATACCATTTCATTTTGCGAAGTGCCAGCAACGTTAAGCTATCGAGACTAATTTCCTAGTCTAGTATAGGTTGAACCTCTCTAGTCTGGCACCCACAGGACCTCACCAGTTCCAAACGAGAGAATTTTCTGGACTACAGGAGGCCAATATTGTCTCGCAGCATTACCAACATATGCATTGCTTGCTGTTAGAAGACATTTAGGGGTATATTAGAGCTAAAAAACAGCACAGAACACTGAGAGCCAGGACTGGTGGCTATAAACAAACTTTATGGGACTGTGGGAAACTTGGCCATGCCCATGAAAAGTGGACATCCAGCTAACTAAATTCATTCCGGACCACAGATGTTTCTGGATGAGAGAGTTCTGGATTAGAGAGGTTCAACCTGCAGTGCAATAAACCAGGAAACTCTGATTCTTTTATCCTTTACACCAGTACAGTGTCCATAACCTCAGTGGTGTTATTCCTGATTTACACCAGGATACGGGTAAGCAGAATAAAGCTCCCAGGGTTCAGTGGACAGTCTGTTTGTGACACGGAAGCAGGTTCAGGTACAAATCAAATCCAGTTCAGTTATTTGTTTCGAGGCTAAATAGCATGTACTCAACCAATGCGGTATTTTTCATCTTCAAAGCACTGAAAACAAAAGGCCAGATTAACTCCCACGCATGCAGGGAGGGGCTGTACTTTGTTAGCTGTACCAGACAGCTCTAGGTCTGGCAGAGAAGGGCTTGAAGGCACTTTACCCCTCTTCTGGGAGCTTTCAGCCATTTGGCTTCCACCATCAGCAACCCAGAGGTGATTCTCTTTTTCAGGAGCTTTCCTATCCACCATTACGACATCACTGGAGTACTTCAGCACAACCGTTGATATATTTATCTTTCCTATAGGCCTGCACATTAAGGATTATTATCCCCACTTTACAGAAAGGGAAACTAAGGCTGAGAGACTAAGTGACTTGCCCGAGATCACACAGGAATTCTGTGGCAGAAGAGAAACTTGAACATGAATTTCCTAGGACCCTGTATAGCTTCCTAATCACTAGACCAATGGTTTTCAAACTACGGGTCATGACTCAGTCCTGGGTCATGGAATGTCAGGCACTGGGTCTTATTGCTGCAGCGGGATCAGGTGACCAGTGGGGCAGCTAAGCCAGGCTACCTGCCTATCCTGGCACTGCAGACTGCACTGCACCCCCAAGTGGCTGGCAGCAGGCCTGGCTCCTAGATGGGGTGGGGAGGAAGAACATACAGGGCTCCGCGCACTGCCCCCGCCCCTGCCCCTGCCCCAAGCACTAGCTCCACACTCCCATTGGCTAGGATCCTGCTACTGACTGCTTCTGGGGTGCAGCATGGTCTGTGGTGCCAGGTCAGGCCGGAAGCCTGCCTCGGCACCCCCATTGCAGCACTGACTGGCAGCTGCTCAAGGTAAGTGCCTCCTACCCTAGCCATGACCCCTCACAAAGCCAAAGCCTCCTCCTACACCCAAAGGTCTCATCTTCAACCCCACCCTGGAGCCCACACTCACCGGGATCTACCAACAAGAGAAGTTAGGGAGGAGTT